TAGTTGTGTTTTTCTTTTGTGTGGGAGTGTAGTTGTTCATTGATTGGTTTCATATTAGTATTGAATACATTAAATACTTGCTCTTCCATTCATGTGATACTTTACTTAGGAGGATATTGTCCAAATCTGTACAGGTAAGTACAAAAGATGTGAATTATCCATCTGTTGTATGGCTCGATAGTGTTCCATGGTTTACATATACTACAGTTTATTTATCCATTCACGGGTAGATGGGCACTTGAGTTGATTCTACACCTTGGCGATTGTGAATTGAGCTGCTATAAACATTTTAATGCAAATGTCCTTGTGGTAAAATGATTTTTTTTCCTCCAGGTAGATACTTAGTAATAGGATTGCAAGGCCAAAGGGAATGTTTACTTTTAGTTCTTTGAGGACTTTTCATACTTCTTTCCAAAGAGGGTGCACTAGTTTGCAATCCCACCAACAGTGTAAATGTTTTCCCTTTTCTCCACGGCAACGTCAGCGTCTGCAGCTTTGGGACTTTGTGATGTGGGCTAATCTTTCTGGGGTTAGATGATATTTCAAGATGTTTTTGATTTGCATTTCTTTGATGTTTAGGGACAAAGAGCATTTTTTTCATGTATTTGTAGGCCATTTGTCTATTTTCTTCAGAGAAGGATCTGTTCATGTCTCCTGCCCAGTGATAGATGGGATTGTTTGCTCTTTTCTTGTTGGTTAATTTGAGTTTTCTGCAGATGTTCTCTGAAGGTTGTGTGTTTGCTTTAACTGTTGTATCCTTAGCTGTGCAGCTTTTAAGCTTGATTAAGTCCTGTTTATTTATTTTTGTGTTTGCTGTGATTGCCAATAGAGTCTTCTTCATAAAATCTTTCCTCAGGTTGATATCATCAAGAGTTTTCCCCCATGCTTTCTTCTAGTTTTTACCATTTTGTGTCTTAGATTTAAATCTTTTAACCACCGTGACTCAATATTTTGTAAGTAGCAAGAGATGTGGGTCCAGTTTCAGTCTTTCACATGTTTTATCCAGTTCTCTCAGCACCATTTACTAAATAGGGATTCTTTCCCCCAGTGCATGCTTTTGTTTGGTTTATCAAAGATCAGAGGGAGATATGAGGCTGTTATCATCTCTAGGTTCTCTATTCTATTCCATAGATTTATATCTCTATTTTTGTGCCAGTACCATACTCTTTTGATCGCTGTGGACTTGTAATATTACCCAAAGTCTGGTAAAGTGATGCCTCCACTTTTGCTTTTAGTTCTAAGAATTGCATTGGCTTTGTGTGTGTGTGTGTGTTTTCTGATTCTATACAAACAAAGAACTATTGGTTCAAGTTCTTGAAAGTATGATGTTTACTTGGGATTGCACTGAATCTATAGATTGCTTTAGGTAGTATAGACATTGTGACAATGTTGACCCTTCCCAGCCAAGAGCATGATGCGTTCTTCCATTTGTTGATGTCCTCTACAATTTCTTTTCTCAGGATTTTGTAATTCTCTCTGTATAGATCTTTCACATCCTTTATTGGATATATTCCCAGGTATTTCAATTTTTTTTGAAGCTACCACAAAGGGTATTGTGTCCTTGATTTGATTCTTATCTTGATCGTTATTGTCATATATGAAGGCTTCTGATTTGCGAACATTGACTTTATAGCCCAAGACATTACTGTATCTCTTAATCACTTCCAGGAGACCCCAGGAGTTTCTGGGGTTTTCTAAGCATGTAAGATCATGTCATCAGCAAGGAGAGAGACTTTTACCTCCTCTAACTCCATTTGGTTACCCTTCATATCCTTCTCCTGCCTGATTGCATTGGCTAGGACTTCCAGCCTATGTTTCCTAGTAGTGGTGATGGTGGGCATCCCATACCTGATTCCAGTTCTAAGTGAAAAAGCTTTCAGTTTTACTCCATCCAGTATGATATTGGCTGTGGGTTTGTCATAGATAGCTTCTATCAGTTTAAGAAATGTCCCATCTATGCCTAATTTCTTATGTGTTTTTATCAGAGAAGAATGCTGAATTTTGTAGAATGTTTTTTCTTCATCTATTGAGAAGATCATATGGTTTTCGTTTTTGCTTCTATTTATGTGGTGAATTACATTTATGGATTTGCATATGTTAAGCCAGTCTTGCATCCCTGGGATAAAGCCCACTTGATCATGATGTAAATTTTTTTTAAAGTTTAGCAGTATTCTATTTGCTAGGATTCTACTGAGTATTTTTGCATTAATATTCATTAGTGAGATGGGTCTGTAGTTTTCTTTCTTTGTTGAGTCCTTTCCTAGTTTTGGTATCAGGGCGATGTTTGTGTCATAGAACATGTTGGAGAGCCAGCTATGCATCTTAAGTCCACTGCATGTTAACTTACTCTAGCGAATTTGTTTTCTTCTCTCTCTTTTTTTCTTTGAGACAGAGTTTCACTTTGTTGCCCTTGGTAGAGGGCTGTGGCATCACAGATCACAGAAACCTCAAACTCTTGGGCTGATGTGATTCTCTTGCCTCAGCTTCCCGGGTAGCTGGGACTATAGGTGCCTGCCACGAAGCCCAGCTTTTTTTTGTTACAGTTGTCATTGTCATTTAGCTGACTGGGACTGGGCTCGAACCCACCAGGCTCAGTGCAGGTGGCTGGCATGGTAACCACTGTGCTACTGGTACCAAGCCTACTCTACTGAATTTTTATAAGGATTAACTCAGGCCATCAGGAGCAATAAAAGCAATTCTAAGTTAACTATACATTTATCAATGCAGGTGAATAGCAAGCATTTGCAGAGTGTCTTAATTAATAATTTTAGACTGGTAGTTGCCAGTGCTGGGCTAAATCCCCTTGGAAGGAACCTAAGGGCCCACTGGTGTTTTACACTTTCAAGTTTGTTGTAGCAGAGGCTTACTGCTTTTTCCTTTGACAGACACATTGCAATCAGCTGGACATCAACTAGGCAGTCCTGGGCCAACACTGTCCTCTGGTGTTTGATTTGGGCAAGTGTTGATGTCTGGCACATAACAATAGGAAATTATCAAATCCTGTGTCTCTTCAGGCATTTTTTTGGTCCCTGGTCCCCTTCTCACCCTCCAATCAATCCCCTGGCCAGGGAAGTATGCACATGCAGCTCCCATTTCTACTCCAGGTTAAATTAATTTCCCTTTTGCTGTTCTTTCACTCACACACCTACATCATTTATACTCATTTCACTTCTCATCTGTCTTCCAACTGTGTATTTGCCCCTGAATACTGAGAAATCTATTCCTGGCCCCTTCTGCTCCCCCACTCCTTCATTCCTTCCTCCACATTTCTTGATTTCTCCCTTTAATTCCATGTGAAAAGACAACAAGAATTATAACTATTTGCTGGAGGTAGAAGAAGGAATCACATCTGGAGCAAGGTAAAAAGAAAGCTATAATATTGACATCAGAAGAGATCAATAGACTCGGTACCGCAACCTCAGTCCTACAGAACCTTTCACAGTATACTACCGGGCTTTAGTATCTCCAGAACAGTCTTATTGATCCCCCTTTAAGCCTTCTGCACTAAGATTAAAAAAACATTTTTCAATTTTACTGTTTTTCTGTTTTATATGATTATAGTACTTCCATAAAGGTGGCTATGGAAGCAGATTTTTTGTTTGTTTGTTTGTTTTGCTATACAATCAGCTGTTGTAGCCCCTACAGACTCTGTTCTGGCTATACCTTTCCCATATCCCCCTCTTTGGTGAAACATAAATGAAGAGATACGCCTTGTATCATCAGGATAAGGTAAGTTACACTGCACTCACAGATACGCACTGAACCCCTTGCTTGAGACAGGAGAGGTTTATTTTCAGTCAGTTAAAGTTGGGTTGGTCAGGTGGTCCTGCTAGCCGAAGAACATCTGGGATGTTTCCTGACCTAACTAACACCCCTGCTCTATTTGGGGCCATGCCATCAGTATGGGTGGACCCCAAGCTCGTTATGGTAGGGGAGGACAGAAATGGAGAAAACACACTGATTTTGAGTCAGTTCATCCTCCTAGTGGTCCAAGTCATTTTTATTGGCTAAAAGTAGTCCCACGGCACTGACTCGAACTAGAAGGGAGCCTGGAAAATGGAGCAGGAGTGGGGTAATCATTGTCTGACACATCCCTCTTTCTTTTCATCTGAGCTCTGATCATATTCTTGTTTATTTTGAGAGCTCCTCCTACCGCATTTCCCTTCCCACTTGGCCATCTTTTTTCCTTCTGGTTCCTCTTTCCCTCCTTTCAATTTCTTGCCATAATTTAAACAAAACCAGACATTGTTTTAACCCTGAGATCCTTGTAATTCTGATCTTGTTTCTTCCAAACTTTACTTCATCTCTCTCTGTGTTGTTCAGGACCTTTGATTTTCTTGTATAGATCCAACTTGCAAAGCATTACAAATGATCGTTTTTATATAATTACCATGTTTTCTAAGATTTACACGCTTATTAAATCTACCTCATCCTAATATATACTAATCCATTTTCCTTTTCTGATGGATAAAATTGGTCTCTAAAATCTGATCTCTCTCTCCAGCTGAAAGTTTAGGAGCATTCACAAGCAGGCATCTGACTACATGCTAATGTAGATATGTGTATCCTGGTCTGAAATATCCAGACCCTTTAGGACCAGGGCCATGGCTGGGGTGTTTAGCACGATTCTAGGCAGGCCTTAAATACCTAAAGCATCTAATAAAGTACACCCTTTTCTGTCAGAGATGCTCCTTACAAAATTCAATAAATGGATGCAATTAATAAATCATTTAGTTGTGTGAAAAATATTATCAATAAGTAAAAGAACAAAAAGATAGATAGAACAGCCCTTTGAAAGAGAGCAGAATAATATGTTTTGTTCCTTCTGTGTCACAGGGTATAAAAAACTACAGCATGTAGTCCTGCTATTTTCAGTAAAATTTAAGTTCTTAGTCTTGTTGAGGGAATATTATTACATTGACACTCAGTAACTGCTCTGCGTAGTCAGATGTGCAGTGTTCACAATTTGTTTATAATGATTGTTTTCTCATTTTATGCAGCTTCCTCCAGCTCTGCACCACAATTTGAAAAGAAGGATAATAGAGAGATTCAAGAAATCCCTCTTCAGCCATCAGAGTAACCCTTGTAATTTGAAATCTGAAATTAAAAAGGTATGATAGTCTATATATAGGAATTAGTTTTTTCCTAAAAACACAAGAGTTACTGTTTGTACCTCCTTTACCTTGTACTTGAAGCTCTTTCCCCCATAAAAGGTTATTATCACTGCTTAAGATACTAAATTGAGGCAATGTCTTTGTTGACATTGAGGCAATTTTCTTATCTTTATTTCTGTGGCTTTTATTCTCAGATGCCTAACAGAAAATTCTTTTGGTTTTATTATATTTTTTCCTAAGAACAAATGTTATTACATATCCTTAATTTGCAAAGGGTATATTTTAGCTTTTGGTTCTATTTCAATATTTTATTACAATGACTTTTCACAAGCCCCTAAATTAGCTTTGCCAATTTGAAGAATTCATTTAACCATGAAGTCATGATTTTTATCAAGTATGAGGGTTGCTGGAACTATTCCTAAGGTTCTGTCCATGGGGTGGAGAACCTGAGGCCTCAAGACCACCTGTGGCCCTCCAGATTCCCAAGCACAGCCCCTCAACCAAATGCAAACCTCACAGAACAAAGCCCTTTATTAAAAGGATTTGTTCTGTAAAATTCAGATTCAATCAAAACACCATACTCAAGAGTCCTGAAGGCTACATGTGGCCCCAAGAGTATAGGTTCTCCCCCAAGAGGTTAACAAAATTTGGCGATGGGAAATCCCTTTGTCCTGGCTGATAGCCTTTTTAGTACAGCCCCTGGAAGTGGCCCAAGGCTCCCCATTCTCCTGTCCCTGAAAGGCTCAAGGTACAAGCAATTGGGCCCAGTGGGGTAAAGATGCTTGCTTGGTACCACTTGTATTTCATATTTTTTAAAGTTTCATCATATACTTAAACCACATATAGCCAAACTGCCGATGAACTTTTCCTTTTTGTATTCAATGAATAGAATCTTAAGCATAAACTTACTCATTCTTTAGGGGATATGGTAGCCTCTTTTATAAGAAATGCAAACAATACGTTTTGGCTTCATTGTCTTCCATCAGTGGGGGCGGCGTATATACACAAAAAGGAGATGAGGGAATAAAAGACACAGCTGCAGATAATCAAAACCTAAACCCTACTTTACCGGAGATTAGAGAGCAACGTTTATTTCATGGCATGTGTTGGCAAATAAGGCCCAGAAACAAAGTCTAGAGGGGATAAAAACAGAAGGGGAGATGACCTCAGCTATTTACCAGGCAGTTACATACTATATCATGAATACTAATAAATATTTTTAAAAGCAGAAATTCAAATCTCCCATGAAAAGATTGCATGTTGCTTAGGTTCTATACTTGTACTAAGGTGACATTTAGAATAATCTAGTTTGTACACAAATTTCTTTGAACAGATACCCTAGTTTTATGAGATGAAAGCACCTGCCGCCAACTGTCTGATACACAAAGGGGCTTCAACTTGCCCCTGTTCGGTGATTTTCCAGCAGTGCATGTCCTTAAAGTGAATCATTTTCTCTTTTATTATTTAGGTTCTCAGTTCTGTATCTCTTCCTCACTGTTAGAATTTTTCTCCTCCTTTGATAGAATTATTTTGCTAGATTCTCCCACTCTGTCCCTTGTCTGCCTTCATCTGTGCTGTGGCAGCATCTCATCAGAGCCCATACCATTTGCTCCTTGTGGTCTGGGAAAATAAAAACAGACATTGATGGGGTGGCAGAGGGGTTTGGGAAAGACAGGTGAGGGAATTCAAGCAAGGGGTAAACTCATCCTTTTTTCCAACTTGGTTAAGATGCAAATTAAACTCTTCTATGAAAAATGCCATGGTCCTCTTCCCTGATGTTATAAGCTTACGGTGGTCTGCGGACATCTGTTTAGGACGCTTCAGTAAGGAAAAGCTGTGTATGTTGTTTTAGGGCCTAAAGTTTGGAAAGGGGGACACTTGGCTCCAGGGCTCAGCTTGTGATCAACAGAGGCACAGTCCCATTCTTCCATACACTGCACTGCCCCCAGCTTGACCTATCTCCCTCTGAAGTTGGTTCACACCTTCCTGGTCAGTAAGGCAGGTCTTCCCTCCTGTGTGCTAAAGAAATATTCAGCTTGGGATATTAATGTTTCCTCTCCTTTACCACTGAACTGCGAAGCCAGCTCCTCCAAAAAACACCTCCCTTAATTTTCCCTGTCCAGAATTAATCATACCCTTCTCTGTGCTTCAGTCACTTTTTTGCTCATATCGTTGTGTTTTAAATAGCTTTTTATCTACCTTGCATTTCTGTTTCCCCCAAAGGCAGTGAGTGCGTCTTATTCATTTTTAACTTCCCAAGGTCTTGCCCAGGGCCTGGCATATGGTAGATTTGTTAATATATAATTATTGGATAGGATATAGACTATATTCTACATTAATATATATTCTGTATATACAAAAATATATTTTCTATTCTTTATTTGTATGCATTGATACAACATATTCATTATATGTATTTCTGTATCAGCATAGAAAGAAGCTATCCTGCCCCCATTTAAATCTAAATGAGAAGAGTTTGTGATCTCGGTTTTTTCCCTCTTTCTAGTGTAGTCTTTTGCTGGCAATAGTTTTGTTCTGAAATGAGTTTTTCATCCCCTGTACAGTCACAGAGGAGTAGCCAATTAGCCTTTGACTGACAGAGTCACTCTATACCAGGGCCAAGCAGTAAGTGGTGGCAGCACATGAAAAGCACTTTTCACATTTCTTTCTGAAACTTCTCCTGAAATCCATGGACCCCATGCCCCCAGTTTGAAGGAGCCATTATGGGCTGATTATGCCTATTTATGAATGGCCTAAGACCCAGCAGGGCATACACATGATTGAAAAAATGAGAAAGCCCTTTGCTATGAAATTAAGCTCTTTATTTATAGCTCACCTAAGGTGTTCTTCAGTCCAGTCTACTCAATCTTGCCTAGAATTGTGAGGGGAATAAAGCAAGTGAGTGATTGCAGAAAATTAGTATTTTCAGCATGGGAGAAGGGAGAAATAGAAGTAAGATAGAAGAGAGCAACTGAAATTAGAATCGGAAGTATCAGTATAAACAAGTATGAATTAATGAGAAATCTCATCTATTAAAAAATACACATTTTCTAATATTTCACTAAAATAGTCTAGAAACTAATCAGCAGCAATGAGCTTCCCTACCTACGACTCCTTGGAGAAACAGTTGATTGCAGCCCTAAAGCAGTAACTGTACAAGATTAGATTCGAATATCTTGACAAAACAGATGGCATAGCAAGGATGCTATCAGGACTACTGAGGGCATATTAAAAGTTCTCAGGAGCCAACTTGAAGAGGCTCCCACTGGCTATCTATTGGAGTAATTGGAGCATCCATAAGAATAATCACCATAGTGCATTGAAAGCATAATGTTTAAATCCCAGAGTCCATAATGATAGTAAAGAAAAAGGAAAAGAAAATCCCTCACCAGTTACCATTGGAGAATGCTAAGCAACCAACTTATTATTTTGTAAATTGTTTACAAAAGAAAGAATCAAACATTTATTTTGTCTTTCTCTTGGGAATTCTAATTCATGGTAACTAAATCATTGATGAGGGGCGGTTTTCATTAGAAGTATTTCATTCAGTTAATAAATGTCAATAAAGAATATAGCCATTTTGCAGTTGCTAATGAAATAATAGATCTAGACATAATCACCAGTGGCTGATAGCATCATAAAAGGAAGGAAAAACAGACATTGTGTGGCCCCTGATATACCTGGGCAGCACTGTCTCTGAAGTACTCTTGCTCAAAGCATGAAGCCACATCCAGTCAAGACTCTAGATTAGAAGGCAGCAAACTATAGTCCTGGGGCCAGTCTGTCCTGCTACCTGTTTTTGTAGATAAAGTTTCTTTGAAACACAACCACATACATTCACTTAAATGTTGTCTATGGGTGCTGTGGGGTTATAGGCAAAGTTGAGTTGCTGTGACAGAGATCATACGGCCCACAAAGCCAAAAATATTTACTTTACAGAAAAAGTTTGCCAACCCCTGCTCTGGATCTGTCATCTGCAGGAAATAAGGGGACAAGAGAGCATGTTAAATGACACCATAGGCATAATCAGCAAACTTCAGACAGGAAGATTCTATCAGAAAGTGATCTGTTTTCCTTAATAAATTTATGGCTAGGGGAGAGGAGAAAGGGAGAAAAAAAGAGAGGGGAGGAGAGGGATTGCATATAGCAATAATAGAGATTATTATTAAAGATAGGCTCAAATAAACATTAGAATGTCTTAGGGAAAATAGTAACCACTTGCAATGTGTGGACTTATTCTTTCCTGACATGGATGAAAAAACTCTAGAAAATATACATAAACAAATCAAGAAAATTTAGCCATTGAATATATATTTGTTTTAAAGTCATGCATCACATCATGATGTTTCAGTCAACTACTGACCGTGTATACGACAGTGGTCCCATAAGATTATATTGATAATACCTTTTCTACGTTCAAATATGTGTAGATACACAAATACCACTGGGTTATGGTTGCCTACAGTGTTTAGCACAGTAACATGTTGTACAGGTTTGTAGCTTACGAGCATTTGGCTGTATGCCCTAGGTGTGTAGTAGGCTATGCTATCTATGTTTGTGTAAGGATACGCTGTGGTCTTTGCACTGTAACAAAATCACCTAATGATACATTTCTTAGAACATATATCTGTTGGTAAGTGATGTATTACTCCATTAAGGAATCAATAACTTCTTTTAGGTGGAACAATTATATTGTGGTTCTGTTTTTTAGAAAAGAACTCCATCTTTTATAAAGAGCTATGTTGAAACATCACAGATGGCATAATATGGTACACAGGATTTGCTTTTCAATTTCAGGGAGTCAGATGAGGTAGGAAGAGAAGTGGAGGAAATTGGCCATAAGTACATGAGGTTCATTGGATTTTTCTCTCTACTTTTGCAAATGTTTGAAATTTTGTATAATAAAAAGAGTTGTGGGTTTTTGTTTGGTTAGTATTGATGCCAGCCTCTTCCCAGACCAATGACTGGGCATTAACACCTTGAATACAACCCTCCTG